TTTCAGTGACAGTGTTAAGCATGCATTTAAGTAAGGTCGGTAGCGAATGATATGTTGAAAAGTATTTACAATGGCTGAAGGACTAGCAAGCGTCACTGATGTCGGATTTCGCAATGAAATATTGGACAAGATCTTTTTTTAGGCGGGATTTTAAAGTTTTCGCATTTCTTGCTTGGGAATATTCGTTCCCAATGAATATCTTTTAATCCAAAGTGGCCCTATAACGCGTATATAAACGACCTAACCAATAAATCATGCTATATAAATGAGGTCTGCACTCTAAACTGAAAGAGGATTATGTAGTTTAAAATAGGAACAATAAATTACTCTCTTAGAACCTGGGGATTCTGAGTTTGAATTCTGCTGGGAGAGATAAATGAGAACAAGGCAAAATCAAATTTGCATTTCACCCTGAGTAAAGACGCTGTTGAACAAGAGTAGCATCTTTTAAGGTAGATTGTGGAAACTTTAGTTCAGAATGCAATTCATTAGCTCACTACTTTTGCATTAACCGCGTTTTTAAATACGATATTGAAAGGAATTGAAGGCCAGCAATGCACCAATGCTTATCTCTTACTAAGCACAGCATAGAGTCTGCATATACATGATAAAAATAACAATATAATTTATTCTATAGAATGCTGTTGTCGTCAATACGACTCATTTTAAAATGGCTTTTCATAGTCTGCTGGCCATATACACATGCCGTAGTGACGAGGGAGTATGAGTATCCTGATGAAGTTTACTGTATCATGAACCCTAAAAGGACGATAGTGTGAGTAGAGAGAAGCCAGCTTTGCTCGTGAATTCATGAGCAGCACGCAGGTGCATGGTGTCATCTGTCCTGTAGGTTAACGCCCAATAGGGGCGCATGAAAAGAATAAATTCAATAGCAAACTTAAGCCTTACCTGTATTTAACCTTGGGTAAAATCCCCATGTTCTCATGTCAATTCATGCGAAAAATGGTTAATCCTGTAAAGTGGACGACGGTTATTGCCTAAATAATTTTAGTATACATTTCATGTGATAGTAGTATAGAAAGGTATAGAAAGTATAGTATAGTATAGTATAGTATAGTATAGTATAGTATAGTATAGTATAGTATAGTATAGTATAGTATTAAAGTATAGTATAGTATAGTATAGTATAGTATAATAAAGTATAGTATAGTTTAGTATAGTATAGCATAGCATAGTATAGTATAGTATAGAAAGCAGAGAGAGACTTTGCAACGATAAAAACTCAACAATTGTGCATTAATGTGATATAACTCATTCTTTTAGTTTCAAATTGTAGAAAAAAATTCCTTTTTAGTACTTATGTCACCTTAAATTAGCAATGGCAACAAAGTTATTGTCAGTTAATTATCAAATTAAGAAGTGTCACATAAAATAAGTGGATAAATTGGAAAAGACTTTTAACCCCGGAAGTTTTATGGCGCATGCAAAGGCTGCTAGGTTCAAAAATCAGAGCTTGCTGAGCAAAGGCCAGAAACGGGACACGAGATTGAATGGTCTCAAACTTGTCGTTTTACTGATTATGGTATGTTTGCGGCTAAACGTAAAATTAGAGAAGCCATAAAAATAAACAGAATAGGAAATACATTTAATGTAAGGAATACCGGCAAGAAGATAAGTAAAAACCATTTGTGTTTAATTGATAGATTGAAAGATAGAGAGGGAGTTGAGCCGCCTTCAAAAAGGAGGCAACGCAACTAGTCGTTTCTCTTCTTTTTGGTTCTAATGATAGTCAATCCTCTGTCGTTTTAGCTCACTTTTTCTCTCTCGCATTGAGACCAAAAATAAAAAATAGGCTCATCAACAAAACCAGACGTATCCGAACTTGCACAATCGAAGTGATGTTAATAACTTAAATGTAGAAAGGGGAAAAGTGGTCATCAAACTTTGATGGACAAAAACAGACGTTCCTTTTTGCTGTCCTAATTACTTTAAGCCATCACTTCGGGTTTCGTACACAAGCGAACACAAACATGCACATACAAATACAGAGACAGACACACTCACATGTATCGAAGTTGACATATGACATATGACTAACCAAATCACTTTATACTTGATCAAAGAGCCCAGATGTAGAGTATATATACCACTTTTTAAGGATTTGCCGGTGAGTTTTCTTGACTCGTTTGCTTGAATTTTGTTGTAAAGATGTTACCTCGCTCTAATGATGTCCGTCATATGACGGATGACAGCTTGGCACCTTTTCACCGGAATCGAAGGAGTTTGCCTCGGAAACAGCGTCAGCATGAATCTTTCAGTAAAGCCAATCGACAGCTGGTCTTCTGGTGGAGCCGACCTTCGAATCTCTTTACCCAACACTTTCACTCGAAATGAAGGTAGCCTCAACAATTATGAAACAAGAGATTCCTCGAAACCCAACTTTTATTCGTATATATGACATTACTTCAACCGCTATGGCATGAAAACCAGTTTTGTATAGCAAAGAGAGTAAAAGATCATCCAAAAATAAAGAAAAAAGATTGTCAAAAAGAGCTTGGAATCCGAGATGTTCAGAAAAGTTGTATAAAAAGTGGTCAAGCGGAATAGGCAAAGATTAGACGATGTGAAGGCATGTCAAGGTTTACTTCAAACTGCCTGAGAAGTGCCTGTTTCCACCTTTCTGTACTTGTTTTTCCGGCAGCCTCATTGGCGGCTAATCGGCGCGTCATTTCCCCAATTTGAAGCTCGGCAGTTTGTGTGGCCAAGAGGAGATCATGGGCCGTTTCCCGTGGCACTCTGGCAGCGGCGCTACGAACTGCCTCGGCCAACTGGGCCTCCTGACTGAGCACGAGGTCGCGTAGTCTCAGTTC